TTATATAAAGTCGTAAGCACAAAATTTCTCGTCGTAATTTTTAAAATATCATAATACATATCATGATGCGTAGAATTCAACAAATCTATTACAACTGTTATCAATACACTCGATATAGCCAATATCGGTATTGGAATATGATATCTTATTGATTTTTATGCTTTATATAATCTTAAATTGATTTTAATTAGAGGATATACTAATCTTTAAAGTAGTTATTTACAGTAAATTAATTTACGAAATTAAAAAATTCGTGACGAAATTGTAGCTAAGTAATAAATAACTGTAAGAAGTAAATAAAATGCGATTACAAAAAAGTGATAAACAAATTTTATCATGTACAGTGTGGTCTTCCACAAACTCTCTATATTCTCCGTTAGTTTTCGACATAGGAAAAATAGCATAAAGTCGTTGGAAACTGTTACATTGTGGCAACAGATGAGTATCGGATGAAAAACATGTTCTAATACAAGAAAAATTAGTATGGACTATTTCTTGAGGAAAGAAATATTTCCGTCAACTCATTAACCTCAGTGAGCAACTTACCAACACTAAACAGATAGGTAACTTATTTCCTTTTAAATCGACATTTTATTGTCCCATGTAAGTCAGTCCATCGATTGTAAGTCAGCTAATTCAATTGCTGCTAATGAGTTTAACAATGTATAAAACTATATATATTAAATAAGTATTGTCGTGGAATATGATCTGAAGTGCCTAATATTTGAGAATTGCGGGGTGATTCAGCAACCTGGGCTCGTCGCGAAGACGTCGAAGCAGAGCTATTATGATCGTTTGGATTGGTTTCCTCAACATGGGTCCGCGGTGGAGACAAAAGGAGTTCAAATTGAGCTCCACCTTGGACGCCAGGTCGCGCTAGGTTCTCAAACGACTGGTTTGTGGTGAATATGGCCTACAGACGTGATGTCTAGGACACGAGCTCGTGGGGGAGATCTCGGCGACAATGGTCGAGCCCCACGTCGAGAGCCGTGTCGGGTTAGACTTTCTAAATAGGGACCACTTAGGTGAATGAATGTTCGGGGGAAATCATGAGAGTGGATGGGCGATGTACCAGAATTGCTTAGATGGAAAGAACCGGCTACGTCACCTACGACGTAGTCGACTAAGGAGTTTTCGCATGTTATGGCACCCGAACGAGATGCGCATTGCTCCCGCTGGGTACCATTTCGTAAAAATGCTGAATGTACTGTATCGCCGGTGCCAACGGTTCCACGTTCCGGGACACCCGATATCGGAGGTAGGCCGACATCGGGGCCAGATCGCGAACCGTGGTCGGGCTCATGGGATTCCCCGGACCCTACCAGTTGGTACATAAGTATAACCTCGTCCCGAGTATTCGTGGGTAACCCACTTCGTAGTAACTCATTCGTGCTACTCGGCTCCGTGAGTGCGTCGTGAGAGGTGGTCGAGGCGGTATCGATAACTCTTCACTCAACATCGAGATAGCGTTGGGGAAGCAGGCCATTTCCTCGTTCACCCGGAGTGTCGGAAAATCTTTCGCCGGCAAACAGGCGTGAGGGCAGTCCTTGTAACCGCTGGTCTCTCCGGATGGGGACGAGGTCTCGTCCAGCTCAGTCTTGATCATATAATCACGATCTGATTTATTTGTTGTACCTTCGAGGGCACCAATCCTCGTAGCACTGGATGTCGCGTCGCAAGGATACGTCTTACCCCGTACGACAATGTCGGAGCAAGCTCTTTTGCTCCGAAAGTCTTGTAGATGCACTGACTCTATTTTTAAATGTGGGTCTCTCGAGGGAGCCCTGAAAAGCAAGGGCAACTACTGCTAAATTTTGAGTACGCCACCGCAATGACGTGCGTACTATTGCTTTGAACCCGTAGGTCGCAAAGAAAATGTCTCGTAGGGGTATGACGAGGAAGGTTGGAAGGTTGCCTCGACGAGTGACCACCTAGAGGTTTGACGAGGAAAGTTGCCTCGGATTTGCAGATCTCGATAGCCTATGTGTGTACCGCTGTACCGAGGTGCGGGTCTCTCGGAGCCGGCACAATCGGAGTCAGGGTCTTCATCGGAGGTTCTCAGCAGGGGGCTATCGAACAGGATCTTCGCCTCAGGTTGGGCTACCTCGGGCGGTACGCAGGTCTCTGGAGGAGCCTGGTGTATCTCTGTGCGATGCAGGAGGCTATCGGACAGGATCTTCGTCGGAGGTGGTCAGTCTCGGACGGTATCGCAGGTCTTTAAAAGGAGCCTGGAGAATTTACCGCTGTTTCGATGCAGGGGGCTATCGAACAGGGTCTTCACCTCAGGTTAGGCTACCTCGGGTGGTATGTCTCGTGATGCGAGTAGTGGTTGCTAGGCACTATAAATGGCCGCGTCAAGGAATGGCAGCCTTGACGGGAGCCTCGTGAAGCGAGCCTGTGAGCTCCAAAAGTTCTTGAGTTTGATGACAGGGTTTTCTCAATTTCAAACCGTGGAAGATATGTTAAAAGGTTTATTGAATAAAATTAACAGACAAGTATTCTTATTAACATATACAAGACATTTACCATAGAATATCGTTTGTTACAATTCGCTCTATATCGCTTCAATCGCACTATGCACTCCCACTAATGAACTGCAAACGTCGGATATGTTAAAAGGTTTATTGAATAGAATTAACAGACAAGTATTCTTATTAACATATACAAGACATTTACTATAGAATATCGTTTGTTACAATTCGCTCTATATCGCTTCAATCGCGCTATGCACTCCCACTAATGAACTGCAAACGTCGGAAGTAGACGTTCGATCGCTTTCCTCCGATCTCCATACTTTTGGCGAAACTCTACCCGCGGTCTCGGCTTAGGCTACCGAACATCGCATCCGACCGCTTCGGAAGACGGTCCTTTCGGCCCAAAGAAGGGTAAATTGGAAACATCGGTGAAATTTTCCCCGTCTTCGTAAAAGGGCTTACGGAGGTCTTAATACTGCATGGATTTGATTCAACAGTGGACTGGTGATGCACGGCACGAAGTAGTGCCGTGGTTGGAGGGTTCGGCCGAGATCGCGCGGACACTTTCGGCGGCAGCTAGGAAAACGTGAAAACTTATTATGGCTTAGCTGGCCGTTAGTAGTCGCATGATTCAGCTCGAATTTGGATATGATAACCACCTAGGGATGCTCTAGTGTGGTTTTGAGATCGGCCGAGATCGAATGAGCGGAACGCCTAAAAACGCGGAAAACATAAAACCCGCTTTTCGCTGTATAACGGCGTTTTGGCTCAGCCGATTCAGATGAAATTTTAAGGGGATAATGCCAGCGACTTGAGTGCTGCATTAAATTGTGGCACCGATCTCTTAATAACTTTTCGAGTTATTGACGATTGCGTCCTTGGACCAATTCGAAAGTAAAAATTTAGATGGTTGTTTCCAAATATCGCCCTGAAGCACGTCGGGGTTCGTCTGCAGGTTGCGAGAGTCGCTGCAGTGGATACTGAGCGCCGGGATGGCAGACCCATGCGAGGTCGGCCGCGATGTAGGTGACATTGGAAACATCGGTGAAATTGGTCTTGGAGGCGCTATCGCCAGAAGGATCGATGCCATGTTAATTAACTTAATTTAAAGAGAACAATAGAACTCTAGAACTTCTAGTTTTTTAATAACAATGTATAAAATTGAAGCAAACATAATAATTAGAATTTTTACAATTTTTCTCGCAAACTTTTTGCCAGCTTTCGATGTTATCTAACAGCATCTCTTCAGGGATTAAACTTGTGTTTTGTATCAATATTACAATTGTAGTTGCCTATTTGTACTACAATTCTTAAAAGACATCAAATTTAGAACCCTGAAGATGGTGTCAAATAACAACAAAACGTCGCAGGAGAATTAAAAAAATGTTCCCTTTTAAATCAGCTCTTGATCTTTTTCCTACTAAAGCGGCCTTGGTATTGAACTTTAATCAGGATTAGTATATTTGACGAAGAATTATTTAAGGTTATATCTCAAAAATATGATTTCATGAATTCTGTAAAATATGAGTTAAGAAGTTTAAAATTTATATTAGTTTCTTAGGTCGAACAATAATTGAGACTATATGGGTAAAAATTATGATGGATCACTCGGTATGTACACTGTGTCGGGGTTATTTTTAAGTGTACATTGATAGCAGGTATATGTTCACGTTAATAATAAGCTGAAGTGGATCAATGTAGTAAATATTGACAATACGATTGTTAACGCTTTGTACTAACAACTTTGGCGGCCATTTATTTCTAAAAGCTTTATTTACTTCTGTTGCCACCATTGATCTGACATTCGAGTAAAGTGGACAGTAAATAAATATTAAATTAATTTTATTATATCTATAAATTCTGCTACAGACTGCTACTAAATTTATTTATTTTTACTATCGAATTTGCTTCTCAGTTGTTCCTTACTAATATACCTACTAGAAATTATATTAAACAGTCATTTTGACATTGTTTTCGAAGTAACAATTTGGTACACAATTATTTTGATTAACTTCATTCATAATTCGTCCCTATTATCACATAGAGGCGTATGTGTATATCCATTTCTTGGATTATACGCCCCTACGTGATAAGAGGGACGATAATTAAAAAAATGATCAGAGTAATACTCGCATTTGTACCTGAATTCTGCCAATACATTGAGAAGTGTAGAATTTCCTCCTCTTTTTGATGCATATTGGTAAACCTTAGTAAAAAGTACCTGACTTCACAGATAATTTTTTTCTCTGTTTAATTATTTGGCTTTTTGTTACGGCATTTTTGTCGTTTTCCTGTTTGTTTTTTACTCAAGGGTTAATTTAATTACATTTTTACTTTTTCACACCCATATTTCAAGCTGTTTGAGCTTCACTTTCGGCCTCATTTTAAAACATAGTAAAACGTCCCTTGTATACCAAAAATTGTTGATGGTGAAATTTAGGACTTATAGCAACCAACATTTTTTTTACGTAAATTTTGATTACTTTTGAGTAGGACCTCATACTCTAAGAAATATTTAAATTTCAGACCCCAGTAAAGTTGAATCTCTTCCGGAACGAAAGTCAATAGAACAAATACAATCTTCAACGATTGAAAAGAAGCATTTGGAAAAAGAAAAATGGTATTCCGTCACTGTTCAAGTCGCCGTCCCATTCTTTATAGCAGGTTTAGGCACCATAGGAGCAGGGATTGTTCTTGGAAATGTCACGGTAAGTGTTACGTTTAAAATGCATGTTTATTGCCCATTTGCACCGTTTCAACTGAACCTGGTTTAATTTTAAAACTAGGTTTTAATAATCAGCTTTTGCACCACTTACTGCCGATTGTAGATTAAATTAAACTGGGCTTTAAGAATACTGTCTAGGGATTTTATTATGCTGCTAACTTATGTCCAGTTATGTTCGGAAAAAAATATGTCGAAATCAAATTCTCAAACCTAACATAATGCCCTAATTTACTTTATTGTGATAAAAGATTTAATTAATAAAGCCCAGCTATTGCAATTGATACTCGTACAATTATTCTGGATACTGTTGATATGTCCATCCCTGAAAAGTCTGCAAAGGCAGACAAATGATCAGCATAAGTATAGAACCGAAGAGCAGTCAGCAATTGTTGGACAGAAGATACACTATTATTCCTAGAAATACAAAATCATATTAAGAGTACAAACTTTTTATAACTCCAAAATTCTGATTGCCAGTTGCATCGTGTTCATGCCGACGTGTTCGTAAAACTTACATGTTACTTGGATATTCCAACTGCTCTTCAATTAAAGTTAGCAGATGTAATGTGGTCTCTTTTGTCAACCTAAATCTGCGAAAAAGTCATATTGTCTAGATTATGAAATAGATCATTTCTAAATATATATTTGTCTGGGAAATCCAAAGTCTATAATTTCATGAATATCAAAATCATCCAATACCTCAAAGTCAGAATCTGAATCCATTTCAAAGTTCTCAATGATGTCTTAACACCACTCACTCATTCACAGTCCAAGGGAAAAGGAAGACATACCTATTTAAAAAAATTATAACTAGCAGCTAAGTATTGTCGACAGTGTCAATTTATGTTTTCTCATTAATCCAAGTTTAAGCGGTCAAATCTGAAGGTTTAAATTAATCGTAGATTAATCCATCTATTTGAAACCGTGCAAACAAAATGTTATATTTTAATCCAAGTTCAGACTTAATCCTGGGTTAAACACTACGGTGCAAACGGGCATATATCACCCCTGCAGATGATTTCAAAAATAGATAATTGCATTATTTTCCCTAATTTATTTCAAAGATTTAACTAAAAGCTTTAAAGCAGTCATTTATCTTCAATAAAACGTGAGCTTTATTCAAAATAATAATACAGGGTGTTTTTAAGTACAGGTCAAAAATCCAGGGGCGTATTCTGTGGCCAAAAATAAGGTTTTTTGTTATATAAATGTGGGGTCTTAGGACAGCCATTGTCCAGCTACAGCGTGTCAAAGATTAAAAAAAAATCAGACTTTAATTTTTAATTTCTAAACGGCTTGAGATAATTTAACTAAATTCGGTGTGCATATTTAGTGTGACAGTAGGTATGAAAAAAAATTGCCAGCTTTAGAAACTTACCACTGGCAGAGGTGTGGGCATCATCGATCATTATTTGCCAAAATAAATATTTATGAAAATTGATTTATTTCATCAAGTGCATTTTTACGATACTCATTACATTACTTAGAATAATAACAAAATAATTAATTAACAATGGAACTACTTTACTATGATTTATTATAAGAAATCCTGGAAATGGCCACCTTCAGCCAAAATACCTGATTCAGATTTTCTTGAAACTGCAGCTCGAACACGTGCAAAATTCCAGGGGTAGTCCTTCCATCACAACTAGCTACTATAATTTGTTGACGTAAGTGTTCCTCAGATTCAATGTGAACCTTGCAAACGTGTAGAACAGCGTCTTCCAACTCAGGCGTTCCAACCGTCTTCCAGGAATCGGACCATTCTGAAATAAGCCTGACTCTGAAAACGTTGAAAAACATTTCTGAATATTCTTGGACTTGGAGTTGGATGATTTGGAAATCTTTCCATATAAATTCGTCTAGCCTCAGTACCATTTCCACCTGTAAGGCCATAAATGTAAACCATATTGGCCATTTCAGCATTTGAATATGCATAAGCAATTATTAAAACTTAATCTTTTTAAAAAATAAGCTTAATTTGACAATACACAATATTAAATAAGATGACGGCTTCTTATTAATATCGTTTTTCATGGCCTCTCTAAGATATGTTTCAGTAATTTAAATAACTGTGTAAAAATACACTTGATCAAATAAATCAATTTTATTGTTAATTGGTTTGGAATACAAAAAAGTATAAAGAAACAGAAAGTGAAGATAATACAATGGCGCATATGAAAACCTATTTTATGTGTAATATTATCTCTGCCACTGGTAAGTTTCTAAAGCTGATAATTTTTTGTTTCATACCTAATGCCATACCAAATATGACACCAAATTTGGTTAAATTGTCGCAAGCGGTTTAGAAATAAAAAATTAAAAACTTATTTTTTTTAAATTTTTTACACGCTGGAGAATGGCTGTCCTAAGAAGACCACATTTATATAGGGATGGCCGGAAGTACGGAATAAAATTCATATCTTTTGAATGAGTGAATTTTTTTTAAAACGCCGAAACACGTTAACTGATTTTGATTTTTTCCCATCTTTCGGTTATATAATAATTAATTTCTCTTCAACATCCTAACCCCCAGCTACCCCTACTTTTTTTTTCAAATGGAAACATAAGGCATGAGGGGGCTCGTTGAAATGCTTATAAAAAACCGAATCCAGCCATACCAAATAAACAAGTTTTATTTTTTCAATAGCAAGGTTTTTAGGGTTGTATAAAACATCTACTTAACAAGTGAAATAAAATTTAATTATCTTCAGTGTTATCCTCCATGAATTTGCACAGAATAAAATAAAGAATTTGAAACTGTACCTATCACTGCTAACGCAAAAAAGATATATTTTTATGTTACGTTTTTTTGGCACCACTTACTTGCCAGGCTTTCTAGTTAATTTTTCGCTTTAGTTGTAAATTGGAGTTCGAAACGTTACTATTGTGCCAAATCAAGTTATTTACTGAATTGCAATGGTATTGTTGGAAAGGCAACGCATCGAAATCTTGATATTGATGGATGTGGAGACAAAATAAGTCAGGTTGAAGTGCGCGATTTATTTAATGCAAAATATCCCGAAACCAAATCTCGCAAAGGACAGTTAGTAAAATATTACCACTCCTATAAGGTATGTCTTGTCCAAGAGCTTTTGGAAGACGATTATGATAGGCGATTACAATTTTGTGAGGGAATGATGAGACGGTGTGACGACAATAATGGTTTTCAACGAGACGTACATACTCTTTTCGGATGAAGCTACGTTTTATTTAAATGGAGTGGTTAACAGGCACAACAATCGCTTTTGGTCCCAGGAAAATCCACACTGGACATGCCAATCGCATACGCAGCATCCACGAAAAGTTAATGTATGGGCAGGTATCATCAACAACAGAATCTTGGGCCCATTCTTTTTTGAAGAAAATCTTACTGCCGCACGCTACCTGGATTTCCTAACATTTGACCTGATACCTGCTCTAGCTGTGATTTTCCCTCATGAAATTGATCCAGATATACCGAATGAAAGAATTTGGTTCCAACAAGATGGCGCTCCCCCACATTTTGGTATTGATGTTCGAAGATACTTAGATGAAATGTTTCCAAATCGCTGGATTGGTAGACGGGGTACAGTTGAATGGCCGCCAAGATCCCCCGACTTAACACCCCTGGATTATTTTCTTTGGGGATATTTGAAAGAAAGAGTCTACCAGGACAGACCGGATAATATTGAGAATTTAAAGAACAAGATTAGGGCGGAGATGCATAATTTACCAGCTGAAGTCATTCAGAATGCTGTGGACAGCTTTTACTATCGTCTTGGATAATGCCAAATAGTGAATGGAGGACATTTTCAGCATTTGCGACATTGAGTTTATTTTTGTAAATTATCTAGTTGTTTCAATTTCTAAATGAAAAAAAACTTGCTATTGAAAAAATAAAACTTGTTTATTTGGTATGGCTGGATTTGGTTTTCTATAAGCTTTTCAACGAGTCCCCTTATGCCTTATGTTTCCATTCGAAAAAAAAAATAGGGGTAGCTGAGGGTTAGGGGGTTGAAGAAAAATTAATTATTATACAGGGTGTTTTCACTTTAAATTTGGAAAATGCAGGAATGTATTCCCTGTCAAAAATTAAGTGTAGTTTGCTCTATAAATTTTTTTTATGAAAGCCTTTGTTTTGGAGATACAGGGCGTTGAAGCTTAAAAAAAAATAAACACTTTTTGACATATCTCGGCTATCCACGAGTAGATTTGATTTAAACTTGGTATACATTATGCGTATTGGGGGTTCTCATAAGTGACAGAATATTAGTCCTATCGCATTAGCCAGTGGCGTGCAAAGGGGGGATGCGTGGCCCCTTTTTCAAAAAAAAGTACGCCATTGAGTTTTTCGAAGAATGTACAGTAAATTTAAATACTACCATACAAAATCTCTTGGTATTTTTCGATAATGAGATTCTTGGACTATTAAGATTTCAATGCATGATAACATGGCACGGTAGTCCTATGTAAATGTGATAGATGACTGTGCCTAAATTTGTTCCAAAAGTCAAATTCGTATTAGTAATTATCAAGTTCTTGTCAACTCATTCCGCATATCTGGAATTAGTATTAATTTGTCTAACACTTTCATAATAAATCAGCGTTCGCACAATGCCGCGGTATTTTACAAATAATGAATATGCAGATATTCATTTTGTGTATGGCTTTTGTGATGGTAATGCTGATGCTGCTGTAAGAGAATACCAACGGAGATTTCCAAATCGAAGGCTTCCAAGTGCTCCAGTTTTTATTACCACTCACAGACGATTTTCAGAGTATGGATTTGGTAAAAGAAATGATAGAGAGGTTAATCAAAATCCACGAGACGGCAATCGAATACTCCTTTTGTTTGACAATAATAATACTTTGAGTACAAGAAAAGCTGCTGTTCAGCTTCAAATATCTTCAACCAAGGCATTTAAAACCCTGAAACGTGATCACCGTACAGCTTTTCACTATAAGCCGGTACAAAATTTACTGCCAGGAGACGCCGAAAAA